AATAAGGGGCAGGCAGGACGGTGCTGACCATCGGAGGGACAGCTGCCAGAGAGGCACCTCCTGTGGGCAGAGGAACTCAGTGATGACACTCTCAAGTTAAAGGCACACCCCAGCCGACGGTATCTCGGCCTGTCCAACGCCATCACCTGGAAAATCACTTCTGGATTGGTAGTTCAGTCTTGTGTATCGCTCTGGGTGTGTGCATATGAAGGAAATGAGGAACATGTCAGTTACCACAACGCTAAATGCTTTCTTATTTTCCTAATATACTCTGAGAGGTTTTGAAATCTATGGAAAATATTTGGGTCAACTGCAGGGGAGCTAATGGAGATGAGAGTGAAATGAATCCAACTCTAATACTTTGTAATAATTTTAATTAAGAATTGATTGGTTCCCCCATTATACCAGATTACTTTTTAAACTCAGTTTTTAATAATTTTATGTAGTTTATGCTGTTTGGCGTTATACTCTAGCTTGTACTTTAGAGCTGATAGGACACAAGTACTTGTTTATCTTTGTCATGAAGTTCTCGTAGGACTGGCAGCCAGGTTGGACATGGGGACTGCTCACCCCGGATTCTAGTCTCCGCGAACTGCGCTGCGATGCTGTCAGCGTCAGCTCTCAGAGAGCAGGAGTGGCAGTCACGGTGGTCCGTCTGCGACCATCATGCTGGAGGGGCTCAGGCCCAGGACCCCGGGTTCTCTCCTGGAGTGCTTCTTATTTTTGCTTCTGCTGTGGTTCTCTTTGGGAAACCCGGAGCTGCATTGAAGCTGCACTGGCGGTCAAGTCAAGCACCCACTGACCTCATTGTTAACACAGGATGGAACTGGATTCTGAAAGCCTTGACAGACCCACATAGCACTTGGTGCCTGATGTCCAACCTCTCACTTGAAAGAACTCTGGTCACTACATTTCACCCACCTCTTTCTCATGCTTAAGATGAAGTCCAAATGCTTTAGTAATGTCATAGAATTCTTCAGGAATATATGTCTTGTTCTTCAGTCCTATTGTCAGCAGGACAAATATGCTAGACACCTTGTAAGTTCCCAGACACCAAATTCATCTCACCTTCGGCTTTTCAAACTATCACTTTTGCCAAGAATGTTTTTCAACTTCTGTTGTGTTTTTACCCTGTGCATCTACATGTGTTTTAAGTTTATAGTAAAATTGAGCAGAATAGTATTTCCACATATCCCTTATTTTATTTTATAAAAAAATATTTCACAGCCCTCCCTGATGGCGCAGTGGGTTACAGCACAGTGGGTTACAGCTTCAGCAGGAGTTTGAATCCAGGCCCGGAGGTGACCCACAGGACACGGCAGACTTCTCCTGACCTTCCTGCTGCTCCCCTCAACAGTGCACTTCGTCAGTCGGCCTGTTCTGTAAACTGCTCTGTCTCTGGTGAAGCCTCTCACCCCTCGCATCTCTGGCCTGTGACCCCAGCTCTGTATGTATAAATAAATCTTTAAAAAAATCCAAATTTAAGAATAAAAGTTGAAACCTAACTCCTCCAGAATTAGCATGTACTAATAATTTATTGTATGCCTCTAGAATTAATATATATATACATATATACATATATATGTATATATATATATAATTTCTGTTTCCTTTTTATAAAGATATAAAAACACCAACAACTATCTAGTCCATTAATACAACCCAGAATCAGAAGTTAAAACAAAGTAGCATCCTGACTTGCAGTACAGGAGACTTCTGCTCGATGAGGTAGATTTCACTTCTACCTGCTCTCCCAACTGGAAGTGGCTTTCCATATACGACTGACTCTTCAGCCCTTGGAAGGTGCTTAGAGAAAGTGAATCACTACATTTCTGATTTCATTTCATTTTCTTAATTTTGACTTAAACAGCAATGGGGCATGTTCTCCCTGTTGAATGGCACAAGTGTGAGCTTATTCAATGTATCTGCAAAGCGAAGAAACTAGTCTAAAAGGTATCTAAAAAGTTTAGATATTATTTTGAATGCAGCACCCACATTGTTCAAATGGAAATGAGAGCTCTGTAGATGTTTAAACAAAGGTGTCTACTATCCAGAGTTTGCACTCTCTTTTGCAACAAAGCTAAGGAGCTCTGAAATGCACCCTGAGTTCGAGTGACGGTGAGGCTGGGATTGAACTCCATTTCCTAAGTGGTGGTCTAGTTCTCCAGCCTTCCCTGCCTTCAGGGTCATCTTGCCAGTTACTACTTTAACTTCACTCAAGTTCACTTCCTTACTTCCTGTAGGAAGTAAATTTTTATTGTTCTGTAATTACTGTAACGGTCACTGCTTGTCCTTTTCATGACTATTTTTCAATTTCTATTAATGCTTTCTTCAACTTTAATTGGATGATAGTTTTTCTAAAAATACGCTCCTTCATTTAAAACAAAGCATTCAAAAATGTCTGTTGTTCTTATTTTTAAATAGCATTCTGAGTAACAAATGCTTTTGTTACAGGGCAGGGAGGGAGGGAAAGGCACTCTTGAGCCCTCAAATAGATTCTGCCATCCGCCTCATCAACAAAACATATAAGACCTTCCATGGAAAGGCATTTTAATACAATGAGTGTGCAACACAGAAAAGACTAAGGATATAGTGTCCAAATCAAACAGCCAGAGTTACCCATCCCCTCCTGGGTAAAAGCCCTCCCACAAGGGACTGGCCCAGAGCCAGGCCTGAGAGCCCACCACAGTCTAAAGCGCCTTCTGGCCCGGACCCATAGAAAAGGGTCAGAAATGGCCAGACACGTCTGGCAGGAAAAGAGCAACATCAAAATTAAGATAAACATTGCCACAGTCACCTCTGCACGGGCCTCTCACCCAGGCCTGTTTCGACCAGTCCAGGACCCAGAAGAAGCAAGTGTGGTTTCCTCACCTGTCTCTTGGCTCCCTGCACCCCCTCAGGCCTCCTTAGGGCTCCAGCCTGCTTCCTTCCTCCTCATTCTCCTCTCCAGATTCCTCTCCTCCTTGCTCAGCTGCACCCTCCTTCTGGGTGGGGCAGGAACCTGGGGCCGCCCCTTCCCCCCACCCCCACCCCCCTGCCATCTTTTTACACTTTTAATAGCTTTTACTACATAAGCACTGCACTTCAGTGGTCGAACACAGCATCTTTTTCTAAACTTCTGTGGACGCGGAAAGCTGATGAAGCTCCAAGGTGTTGGGGCTTCACGGGAAATGGCTCTGACAGCTGAGGTGCACATGAGGAGAGGATTTTACACTGGTTTCCTTCTCTTCTCTCAACTGTATAATTCTCTCTCTACTTATCAAACTGGAGATGCTCCATGGTCATATAAAGTTAATATTAATTAGCTATAGGGAGAAGGGGAAGGACATTCTACAAGAAGTTTTAGCTCATTATTTTAGTCAAGAAATGCCCCCCCATTTTGAGCTGAATAACCGACTGGACTCTCATGATTTACGCTTGTTCCCACAAAGCAGCCACAGTTTCCTCACTTGCTCCTCTGCCTTACACAGAAGCCACCGTGGCTGAGGGCCTAGGCCATCCTGCATCCATTCCAGCTTTTGCTGCATAATTAGAATTTGGAATACGTTCATCTCCTTCTCTCTTAACATCTCTCTCCCTGTCTGTCTCTCTATCGTCTATCAATTACCTCTCTGTCATCTCTCCATCTATCATGTATCATCTGTTTATCATTACTTATCTATCTGTCTACCCACCAGGTATAGTCTATCATCTATCGATCATCTATTACCATCTACCATGTCTCATCTATCTGCCTGTCATGTATCCATCATCTTTCATTGATCCTATAACATTTTTCAGCCTTCTGTCCATTTATGGGTCCATTCATCTGTCTCTCATCTCTCTATATCTCCATCTCCCACCACTGCCTCCCAGAAAATATGTACTATGAAAACTATACAAACCCTAAATATAAGTAGGGCTCTCATATATAATATCATACCACATAGTATGATATGACATGGCATGGCATATCATTCACATCATAATATGATATGATAAATACAATGTGATATGATGTAATATGATATGATGTAATGGTGTAATATAATATAATATGATACAATATGATATAATGCAATGCAATATAACATAACATAACATATATAATTAGTCCTTTCAAGTTAGGACACACTATTTTCTGTACAAAGTAAAAATTTAAACTGAGAAGTCTCCACAAAGTAAGAGCAGGGGCTCTTCCCTGGATGATGATGGAAACCCAGAACAGTCCAGTTGCTGGCCCAGACCCAATGCAAATAACCAGGGGCGACGAACACCGGGACCTGGAACAGCACCCTGTCCTTTGTGGGACTGTGGGTCTGCATCAGTGCCCCGCCCTGACAGCAGCTGGGTGCTGTCCTTTCTTTCTGCCCCTCCAAAGGCAGCTATTTTCTCTCCTTTCCTCGCCCCAGACTGGCCCTCCCTCCTGTGAGAACACTCCAGAGCTCTAGATTTCTGCCCTCCCCTCTCCCACAGCCCCAGGCAGAAACCACCCAGGGCAGCTGCAGCTGTGACACCTTCCTGGGCAGAGGCTGCTCCCAGCTCCTGCAAGCGCAGCCCTCAGAAAAAATGCTGCACTAAAGGGGGGGGGGGGGATTTGGCACAATTTAGAGTTTTGACTATAATTACGCATATAGAGATGTCAGGCAGAATGACCCTTGTAAGTAACAGTAAATGGATCTGAATCATTTTATTAACCTTTTTTTTTTCACTTGCCATTTATTGGAAAGGTGACCTTTCCAAAGCTGGTTAATTCATTTAAGTTATTATAACTTTGAACAATACTTAGGAAAGAGAGGCATTTTATTACTATGAGATTATCCTGTTAACAATCAAGGCGATTCTCAGAAGAAACTGAATAAATGTAACCCACAGTCTTATTACCTCCTCTGTTATACAAATGCCCAGCATTTAAAAACAAACACAAAGAACTGAGATGCTCCGGTAGCTACAGAGATATCACCATAAGCAGGGGAGGCTGCTTCCAGGCCAAGAGCTGAAAGCCAGGTGAAGCTACTTACCTCACACTGGGGGCTCAGGGGAGCCATCTTCTACCCTGGGCTGCTGAGAGATGGCGAAGGGACACGTGGGGAGGGGAGCTCCGCAGCCGGGCGTTGTTTGTATTTTGAATCTGCTGCGTTTGGGCCTCCCTGGTGGCACAAAGGTTTAGTCTGAGCACTAAGAAGCTGCCAAAGCCCCTCAGCACCAGTTGGAGCCCGGCCAGGGAGCGACCCCCAGGGCGCTGCAGACCTCCCCGTTTCCCCGCTGCCCCCTCAGCAGTGGGTTTCCGTGGATCTGCCTGTTCTGCTCCCCACTGCTCTGGTGACTCCTCTCACCGCCCCCCAGCAACCGAGACTTACACCCCAGTTCTGTACGCCTAAATAAATAAAAGTACATGTATATAAGCACGAGTCTGCCCCTTTGACAAGGCATATGGTGCGTGTGTGTGCGTGTGTGTGCGTGTGTGGGGTGGGGAAGGGAGGGGCAGCGTTAAAAGGACGTGGCCAGCAGGGGACCGGTCAGGGCACGCCACTGTCAGGCCGCCCGGGCTCAGGGCGCGCAGGGGCTTACTCAGCCGTGGGAACGGAGTCTCCCAAGCCGCAGCGGCCGATCTCACCCCGGCAGCGTCCACAGACTCCGCACGTCCTGACAGAACCGCGCTCCCAGGCCGTGCTGGGCCCCCAGCAGGGCCTGGAGCGCAGGCAGCGCCGGCCGGTGGCCTGAGTGTGGCCAGGTCAGGGCCGGGCCAGGCCGGGCAGCAGAGCGGAGCCGGAGCGGGAGGCCGGCGGCTCCAGGGGCGTCCCTCCTGCCTCAGCTGTTCTTCCAGGGCCGCCCAGCAGTCCCAGGGGCCCACTCGCCGCCAGCCAGCGCCTGGGCTGACCCTCCCTCTCCCTCCTCTGCGACCGCCTCTTCCTGGCCCGCAGCTGCAGCAGTGGAGGGGCCGGACGGGTGCACGCCTGGCCCAGGAGCTGCCGGCCTGGCCCTGCGGAGGCCGGAGGCCGGAGGGCCGCTGCTGGTCTTCGCCTGCAGCCGGATCCCCAGGGAACACGGGCGGGCGTGGGGTGGGGGCCGTAGATTGCACCTGCCGGCCGGGCGGCTGCACGGCCCAGCGCCGCCCCTGGGCCGGAGCTGGGCCCCCGCGGGGGCTTCCCCTCTTACCGGCCCCCCCAGCCTCGCCCAGCTCCACTCGCCGCCTGATGGTTACCCCAGAAAACGGCCTTACTCTTGGGGCTCGCTTTGGGCCTCAGCAGACCCCTTGGGCTTTTACCCCCGCGGGTTGTGTAATTTGGGGTGTTTTACCAGAGAAACACACTTCCTTTCCTAGGTCCACTCCGTCGGCTTATGGCGACGGTCTTCCACACTGGTGGACGCAGGACCCTGCGGTACTGTCCCCGCGTTTGGGGTCCTGGTGGTTGCTCAGTTGCAGCAATATCACAGTCTGATACGTCACAATCAGCCGTGACTCTGGGGCCACCTAACGCCGTCGCCCCGCGGGAAGGTTACAGGAAGAGCTGTCTCTTCAGCCCGCCCGTGCGTCTGCAGTGCTGTCTCTGGCTTAACGTGAGCGGCACAGTCCCTCCAGAGGCCCCAGGGTGCTGCAGCGACAGGGCGGCTGCCCGGCTTCCCTCCATGCGGAGACCCACCCTCCTGACCCTCTCCTGTGGATGGGCGCTTGGGCTGTTCCACTCTGGGCGACTGAAAGTGGCCCTGCCATAGTCACAGGACGCAGACCCCTCTTCCCGTTGCGTCTTTATATTTTGGTGGTAGTGCCAGGAGAGGGGTGGCCGGGCCACGTGGGATTTCTATTTCTTTGTTTCTTTCTTTTGCAGGGCTGTCTACTGCTTTCCTTCCGCACAGACCCCCATCAACAGAGAGTGGGAAATGCCACCGCCCCCCACCCGTGGCCACATCCTCGCCAGCAGTTGTTGCCTTTCTTTTCTTTCTCCTGGCCAGCCAGAAACTCAGTGAGTTTGACTGCACTTTGTGAAGGGCTATTCTGGATTTCGTTTCAGATGATTCATGCCACCCTGCTGCGCATGAGGACTAGTGTGAGCAGCTGTCTCCTCTGGAACATCTTTACCTCCTCTTCATTTCTGAAAGAATTTTCTGCTAGACAAAATACTCTTACTTGGCAATCCTCCCCCACCCCATGTTGAAAACACCACCCTGTCCCTTTGCTCCTTTCTGACCTGCTGCGTTCTGCCAACGAGTCTGGTGGCCGTCTTAGGCATGGACCGTGGACGCTGATATCATAGACTGACTTGGGAGTTCCAGACACTCATTTCTCACAGCTTGAGGGGCCAAGGAGAGCAAGACCAGGAGAGAATGAAAGGAAGCCCTTCCGGGGGTCTTCTCTAAAAGCTCTAATCCCATCCGCGCGCACTTAAAGCCGTGACCTGATCCACTTCTGAGGGCTGCGCTCCCATGACTTTCTCATTGGAATTAGGATTCCAACATATAAATTTGGGGTGTCACAAATATTTAATCTTTACTGTGGATGTTCCTTTGGGTGTGTTTCTTTTACTGTTTTCAGTTCTCTTGATCTTTGGCTTTGGGTATAATTTCCGCTAATGTTCTGGAAGAAAATGTTCTCCATATTCCATGGAAAACAATGAGGGGGTCCCATACATTCTTGGATTTTCCTCCCCCTTCTAGAAGGTTAATACTATTTTTAGAATAAAAAAAAAAAAGATATGAGTGCATCAAAATGAAGTTGCAGGCAGTATATGATCAAGTGTAAAATATTAAGAAATGTTTGTTTTGTCCCTGATGTTTTTTTTTTTTTTTTCCTGATTCAGGACAACATTGTAATTAAAACTGCATTTATTGAACACCAACATTTGTTAATTTGGGATTTATTCCCACTGCATCCCAATTAAAATACCTCTTTTATCTTCAAAGGGAGAAAAAATCAGAGAAAGGGAAAGGATGATAAAATATTGAAAACATCATATTGACATTCTATTGGATTATTTTTAATGCAAGGAGGAATAGTTAATGAATGTTTAAGAAGGAAACATTACTTCTTACTGAACATCTTTTCTGTCTTAGTTACAGCTGAAAACAACTACTAGTCTGTATTTCTTGGATTACAACCCAGGTGGAACTGGTGTGTTGGAATGTAATCTTCTCTGATGTCAACTGGAAACAGCATGGAAGTAAAAAGTTTGCTAATGTCAGAAAAATCTATGACCAGCATTTGATCTACATTCACCAATGCATTACTGACATATTTTCAAGTGTGTCCTTGAACATGTCCCAGCGAGTTCATTTTTAGCGCTATTGAATCCAGCTGATCACAAGAAAGATTTCTGGAGGTGCACTGTGAGGTTTAACACTGAAAGGATCGCACACCAGGGAGAGCTTTAACAGCCGTTAAATTCTTTGGTTTTCTTTTTGGCCAAATTTAGTGCTTAGGCTAATTTTAAATGATACTTTCTGATACTTTCCCAACTTTTTTTTTTTTTTTGCTTAGTATTTTTAATCTATAATTTCAATGACAAGCTCATTTTTGGGTGGCAAATTGAAGTGAATATGGAAAGCATACCAAAAGGGGAGCACCCGTGGTACCAGAGCACTGGTCTCTTGAAAGTTGGTCGGTGACAGTGGTTTATCCAAGTGACTGGATTTACCCCACTTCAAGACACATAACTAAGGCTGGTATTATATTTGTCTCCACTCCGAAGACTTCACCTCCAACTCACCACACAAGACGTCCCTGACCACACGGTAGACAGGTTTCTGTTTTTCATTTACAACATAAACTAATTTCCTTTATGGTACCCCCTCTCTCAAGCAGGCAACACTGTTCAACATTTATCCAAGGATTTTAATTTTTAATGAGGGCCAGTGAGAGCCCCCATTATTAAACAAAATTACACTGCAATACGATGATACTTTATCAACCCACACCTCTTTCTTCATTTCCTTACCAAGGATCTGATGTCATTTCTCAATACAGCTTGTTCTGAATGGTGAGGTGATTATATAATGGACTTGCTTTGGTTGTTTTCTGTTCTCAGTTAATTGCTTTGAAATGCTGCTAATGTATTCTGCATTTTCCTCTTTCACAAATGTAGTCTATCAACAGTATTTGATGATGGCATATTCTGCAGACACTGCCTGTTGTGGTGGAAGCAGTGATGAGCCAAATTATTAAAACAAAAGCATCTCAGATAGGCATCTCATTTCCTTTTTCTAATATGTGAAGTTCTAGGTGTTTTCATGTGATATGTAAAATTTAAGTAAGTCATCTGTTCAAAGCAGAATATTTAAAGTAAAGAGAAGCAGAGATAAGAATTATGGGGTAATTAGAATTTTCAGAAATTTCAATTATTTATTTAAAATTCTTCCTCTCAGAGCCTAACAGGAAGATTATTATGTCCTGGGGGGGGGGGGGAAGTCAACATTTCTCTTGAGATTTGTTTTGGGAGAAGTTTCTGTGACAAGTGAGGGCTATCTATACCCCTAGCAAGGACATTTGCAAGCCATTAACATGAATCCTTTCAATAGCCTCTCAGTTGGGGCCTCTCTGTAGGCACAAAGGTTAAGTCTCAGCACTCTGAAGCATCTCCAGCCACTGCAGCCAGGGAGCGACCCCACAGGGTGCAGCAGACCTCTCCTGCCTCCCCTCAGCAGTGCCTTTCAGTACATCCTCCTGTGTGACCCCCACTCTGTCTCTGGGGAGTCCTCTCAATCCCGTGTCTCCAGCCTGTACCCCAGTTCTTGCATGCATAAATAAGCAAATCTTTCTAGTCAGTCCTATCCATACTAATATTTCCAAGCTAATCAATATTTGACAATCAATGATTTGTTTCACTCTAAAAAAATGGTAATATTTTATTAGTGCCTTACTAGTAATTTATCTGTCAACCTATATGAAATCATGACATCTCTACTTATTATTGACAGTGACATATAAATAGAACCCCAACATATAAATAGAACACCAAAGTGGAAAAATAAATAAAAAGATTGGTACCATTTTCACAAATAATCATCATGTTCTAAGCAAATTCCATTTCCCAGTAAATTTACTTCAGGATGCCGGGGTCGGCTGCCTGCTGTTCTCATCAGGTAGAGGGACCTGCTTTGCCTTCTCTGGCCAGGGCTTCCTAATCCCAGTGTCCAGTGTCAGCGGCGGTGCCCACTGCCCAGATTGTAAGCGTCAAGCAGAGTGCTGTGGTCTCCACTTAATCCCTGCTCAATCACCACTGATCCTAGAACACGGTTGATAGAGAAACGGTAAGTTGTTCATTTATGTTTAAAATAGTTATTTTGTCAAAACACAAACAGAGCTTCCTCCACAAAGCTAGACTGGATGGGGCTACTTGTTCATATTTTACAGAAAGTAATTTGTGGCTGCATAAATTGTGATGTGTAAATTTGATGTTTAAATGTGATTATTTTGTCTATGATTCAGAGTAAGAGGATATTTCCTGCCTCCCACTGATTAGCTATTATGATCTTTTATAACAGCCTTGGGAGGTATAAACAGTCACACGAACAGGTCTATAAATAATTTATCATTAACGCATGTGTATATATCACTAACAATAACATACTAACAAGCTAGTGTATTTGTAATAATGAAGTACAGACAGCATATGTAGGTGCAGTAAGTCTAACAAAGTGCATTATTAGAGAATG